TAATGTCCAGCCAAATTTCATAATTAGCGTTGCATGGTCTTCGGCGGCTACTATATGTAAGGAAGAGGATAGGGCCAAGAACGGAACCCTGGGGAACCCGGCGCTCTACTGCCACTTCCGTCGACCGTCGTTCACCAATACATACGGTCTGGGTACGAGCAGTCGAGAAGTTTGCGATCCACTGTAAAAGGTTGCCCCTTACCCCTATACGGCTGAGCTTTTATAAGAGACGTTGATGAGGCACAGTTCCAAAGGCCTTCTTGAAGTCTACGAAGACCGTATGCACCGTATTCCCCTCATCGAGCGCTCAGATACATTGTTCTAGGCAATAGAGCAGATTGGTCAAGCAGGGCCTTCCCCTGCGGAATCCATGCTGCTTGTCAGAAAGAAGTTGATGTTGCACCAAAAAGTTCATTAGCTCGCGTTTGACTATGCGTTCCATGAGCTTGCAGGATACTGAGGCGAGGATGACCGGTCTGCAGTTATTTGTGGCCGCCCGACTCCCACTGTTGTGAATAGGTGAGATCCACACTGCCTCCCAATGGGGTGGCACTTGTCCAGTATTAAGAGAAGCTCGGACGAGTACGTACAGGGGTACCACTAAATCTATGGCTAGCTCTTTTAATAGCTTTGCAGGTATCTCATCCTGACCTACCAACTTCGTTTCTTTGAGCTTTTGAAGTTCTCGCAGAACGGTAGCTTCCATGAGTGCAACTGAGTCTATGATCTGGATCTCACCCACACTGCAGTTTACAGCGGTGAACTCAGGCTCTCTCGTAAGACCGACTTAAAGAAGCAGGATAGATGTTCCGCCTTTTCGTTACTCTCGCAAACTTCTACACCATCGTCTGTTTTTAACAGAGGAATAGAGTCTCTATTTCGAGTGCATTGTCTAACGTAGCTGTAGAAAAGCTTTGGGTTTCTTACTGCACGTTTAATTAGATTACCCTTGAAGTTTTGGCGACTATTTCGTATCAGACTCTTAACCCTATTTCTCTGTGCCTTATACTTATTGTGCGATTATGGGGTCCTCTCTGAGATAGGTTTTCCCCATCCTTCCTTA